GATCAGACTCTGTTACATTAGTCATTAAATTCACTCAGCCACTTGCCTTGCTTAGATTCCATGATTAACAAGCAACCTTAAATAACTTGGTTTCCAAGGCAGCTTCTACTATGGGTACAGAACACTGTGACAGGCTGACCCAAAAGTCCCAGCCTTCTTGGAATTTCTACTTCTCATTATTAATTTGGCATCCTGAGTATATCAGCTTCTTATAAGTCTGTTTAGCATGAGTCAGTCCTTAAGAGTCAGCTGGACTCCAGGTGCTTTGGCCAACTACAAGCCTGAATAAGCAGCCGAATGTATGGCCTCATCCTGATTTAACTACCATTTATTTCAAAAGAGACAAATAGAACTATTGTTCAAAAAAGCTTCAAAAATCCTTCCCACCTGAGCTATAGTAATGGAATCTTCAAGTAACCAAATAAAAACTACTTACTAAGAGAAGTAATGAAATAGCAACCACAAATAAAATGTATTCCCATGAATGGATTAACAACCCTAATTAGAAATGTGATCTAGGTCATCATGGTGTTCTGCCAAAACTATATAGCAGGAGGCCCTAAAATCATCTAGCTTGCAGGAGAGGAGTTCAATGCAGTGAAGAGAAGCAGCTATTAATACAGCTTTCATTTAAAAGTACATTCTAGAAGAACCCCCAAATCTAGTAGCAACTAGAAGACAGTCTCTCCTTTGCTGTCCTGTCTGCTGCTCCCTTGTGGTATATTCGATAAACCTCTATCTCCTTTAAAAAAAAAAAAAAAAAAAAAAAAAAAAAAAAAAAAAAAAAAAATGGGACACTTTGCAGGCTCAGTCACTTAAGCATCTAACTCTTGATTTTGGCTCAGGTCATGATCTCATGGTTTGTAAGATCAAGTCCCTGTCAGCATGAAGCCTGCTTGTGATTCTCTCTCTCCTCTTTCTCTGCCCCTCTCCCACTCCATTTATTTATTTTGAGAAAAAGACAGCAGCAGGGACAGAAAGAGAGAGAGAATCTCAGGCAGGCTCCATGCTGTCAATGCAGAGCTCCACGCAGGGCTCAATCTCACAAACTGTGAGATCATGATCTGAGCTGAAATCAAGAGTTGGATAGTTGGCCTGGCCAACTGAGTCACCCAGGTGCCCCTAAATAAACTTAAACAAAATATGGTAGCAACTGGCATCCATGAATTTAAGGTTTATGTTCAGCCATGTTCATCAATGGCATTCTGCTCTCCCAGGTCCTTCTACCCATTTTTCCTCACTCACTGTCTCTCCCTTGCTCCTAGAGGAGTAGAATCTTTTCCTTCCTTACAGAACACAAAATTATGAAAGATGCTGCAGAAGAACACAGGACTGCACTCTAATTCAGAACCTAACACCAGCCACTTCAGTCCCAGCCCCTCCTTTTCCTGCCTTATTTTCCCATCACAAAGCAAAAGAAGAAAGACGTTCTCTTCCTTCAATGGCACACCTGGTACTTTTCCCAGCCCTTCTCCTCATCTATTTTTGGTAAAAGATTCAGGATAATCTCATCAGGGTTTATTTAAGGGTCAAAAGGACTAAAGTTCAAGCCTGAATTAACCACATGCTAGCTCTGAAACGTTGGGGAAGATATTTAGCCACTGTTTCCTGTCTCTAAAATGGGGAAAAGAACGAGTGCTTAGCATGATGCCCCTATAAAGTACTAAGTGACCAATAAATGTCAACTGCTGTATCACTGCTACTCCCTAGTCCTAGTGCTCTTCCCGAGACCACAGCCAACAGGACAATTCCCAAAAGAGGCTGGGGGAATGACTCCTTTCTTCCTCCTTGTGGTTAGCATGAGCTATGTTCCTCCAAATCTGTGCTACAGTAAAGCACCACTACCGCCATCTGTCATAACTTCCATGAAGGGGATTCGAGGTTGCTAGGAGAAAGTTTTTTAAATTCTGCGTAGGGCAGGAGAGTATATAAAGCTCTTTTTATCAGTCCTAGCAAGTTGAGTGCTAAAAGATAAGCTACAATTCCTAAACTTTGTCTTATTAATCAGACTATGCCCACAGCAGCCTAACGACTGATTCTTATTCCTTGTCTGAAAGTCACTGAAACCTAAATAACACTCGGCAGAACTTGTAATCTCATTTATAAGATGGATAAGCTGCCTTTGAAATAAGCTTAGAAGCCATTTCCTAAATGGTGTACAGGGAGAAGGGGAGTCTTTTTCAATAGCGGGAAAAGGCAATGCCCAAGGCTTCAGTGCTCTACAGGCCCTCCCCAAATCCAAGCTTTAAAAAAATTTGGAGCCAAAATTCAAATGCCAGTAACAAAGAAAATTCACTCTGGTGAATGTCAAAAATATTACTACCAGAAAGAAATGGCACAGAAAGCAAAAAGAAGTTTTCAATAATGTGAATCCACTCCTTCCTGTTTTCTCTCTCTCCTTCACTTCAGCTGGGCTTTGGTTCTTTTAGCCAACACAGGAAACATTTCTACTCCTCCCTGCTGAGCCTATTATAGGTGGTGCCTTCTTCATTACTTGGTGGTGGGGTTTCATGAAACCAGAACAATGATCTCTCCACTATGTGTTTAAGCTGTGGGCTGCCTTCAAAAGACATTTGACCAGCCTGGCAAGAACTGAAAAGTGTGAGTGTCAAGTCAAAAATATGGAGCAACCAGGACTCTTACAGCTGGTGGGAGTGTAAATTGGCATAACCACTTCGGAAAACAAGTTGGCATTATCTAGTGAAGGTGAAGATGTGAATAGCCCACAGCACAGCAATTTTGCTCCTACGCCTATGACCAACGCTGTCCAACTTACCAAGCATCTACGGTGCTCCTGCACGATGCTGAGACCTGGAGACACAAAGATGGAGTGAAACCCGAAAACTGAACTTTATGCAATGATGGAAATGTTACATACCTACACTGTCCAATATGGTAGCCACTAGCCACACATGGCTATTGGAACACTTGAAATATGGCTAATGAACTGAGGAACTGAAATTTGAGGCGTATTTAATTTTAATGTAAGTCATATATGGCTTGTGGCTATCTTACTGTACAATAAAGTGAGAACCCCATGAACATGTGCCTCAAGATACAATGCACAAGGATGTTCATTTCAGCATTGTTTGAAATAGATAAAACAAAGACAACTCAAATGTCCATCAACAAAAAAAAAATGGATAAACTGTGGCACAGCAGTGAAAAATAAATGCATCTCACAAACCCCACTGAAGCTAAATCTTGAAAACAATGTTGGGGGGCTGGGGGAAACGTTACAGAAGAATTTAGAGTATGATGAATTTTTACAAAATCCAAACACAAGTACAACAAGTACTAGGAGATAAACATATTAGTGGTGGCAAGGCTATGTAGAAAAGCAAAAAAAAAAAAAAAAAAAAAAACCCAGGATAAATACAAAAAATAAGGTAATGAATGATTATGAGGACAGGAGAGTTGGAGGGTACAATCTGTAAAGAGCACAGTGGGAGCTTCAATAACATGGCTGATGTTCTGCTTCTAAACTTTTATTGTTGTTTCTTAGCATATATATTACATATATGGTTTTATGCTTCCCATTGTTTCACAATAAAGAAAATGAAAAGTACTATCAAGGTAGGGTTGCTGATTCTTGTGTCGTGTCCACCAATTCTCCACCCATGCAGACTGGGAGCTTCTCTGTGGAGGGGACAGGTTTCACTCCATCTCTGTGTCTCCACTAATTAGCATAGCACAGGAGAACCATAGATGCTTGGTAAGCACCTAGTGAACTGAATCCAGACCTGGGAAAACTAGAACCCTCACGACTTAAGTTTGTTCACAGTTTTGTTTTCCAGGTAATGTTAGATAAGCATTCCCTATCAAGTAACAAAAAATAATACTGTATTTCCTCCATTCTAACATGCACTCTCCTCTCAGCACATTTGAGCAGATATAGAAAGTAGAATGCTTTCTACAACTGAAGCTGTCATTAAATGGGGGTGTTTTTCAATATCACCAGCATGCTAGAATTCAGGAATGTAATTCTGAGCTTCTTTTGTTCATTTCCCTACTGTTAGAGAAGTGTCCGGCTTACAGTAGTGGCTCAGTAAATATTTGCTAAATAAAGAAAAATAGTTACTATTACTGCAAGCCTACTATATGTCTGAGTCTGGCTAAAAACTTTACAGATTATTTAATTTTCCCTTTACAATAACTTTGAGGCTTTGCAAGATTAAGTCACTTGCCGAAGAACATGTAAATAAGTAGGTAAAATGGAAACTTAGTAAGTGGCAAAGTCTGGATTCAAATCTCATCTAGACTCCAAAGTCCATGCTCTTAAACATAATGCGATAGTATCTCTCAGACAAAATGAAGCCAAGTTCCACCCCTTCACCAATTTTTAAACTAAACAGTTAAAGAAAACTGCCCACAATTAGTGATTTTACATTAGCTGAATCGCTGGTGATATTTACAGGCAAACAGAACCTATGTTAGCCAGAGACAGGGGAGAGGCAAGTGAAACAATCCCAAGAGACAGTCAGACTTTACCCCCGTATCCATCTTGACTTACAATAAAATTAATCCAGTTACTGGTTCACACACAGAAACACATGCCTCTGACACCAGCAAGTACTATTTCTAAATGCAGTAAATATCTAAAGGGACCAGAATTATATCATCAAAGCGATCATCCTATTAAAGAGACCATAAAGTCCATTTGATCCAACCTCCAGGCAAGAGACTTACATTCCTAACCTCATTTTAATGGCAGCTGAGGCCTTCTGAGGCCAAGTAACTTTGGTCCTCTGAGAAGTAAATGGTTGAAGCAGAGACCAGAAACTAGGTCTCCTACTTCCTGGGCTCACCTTGTTCTGTTCACCTCATCACAGCAGAACAAAGTCATTAAGGATCTGTTAAGGTCCCTTTCTACGCAGCTATACTAACCTGAGTCCTTTACATAGTTTATCTTGTTCAATCCCCTTGTCAACTCTGTGAGTCAGATAATATCTCCATGTACAAGTTGAGGAAACTGGGTTCAGAGAAATTAAGTAACTCACCACAGGTCACACCCTTAGCATTTGGACTAGAAGCCAGATGGTTTTACCTCACCTTGCAGACCTGCAAGTTAAAGAAATCATAATTAACACTGGCACAGTGCTTTCATGTTACTGAAAAGAAAATGAGAAGTAAGTTTTGAAAATAAGAATATATTATGCAAGCTTGAATATTCCCCAAACACTGTACCTCAAGACTGGAGTCTGGTTAAAGACCAATAAGATAACCTCTAAGCAACTACAAAGATGTCATCTCTAAACGTGAACTTGAGACCTAGCACCTTAAAAAATTACTGGCATTGTAGTAGATATAAAGGAAAAAAATTATTTTTAAATCTCCCATTTGGGTTAAAAAGAGAAATTTTTGAAAATTAATTCAATTTCATCCATTTTCCTCCATTTTTCCCATGTACCACACACATTATAGCTTATTTTGCCACAACTGTTTTGAAGACTTTCTCTTTCATTCTTCTCATCACCACATCCTCTTTCATGCAAAACAAGATAAGACTATCTGAGAGCCACTTTAAGTCTCTCAAAAGAAAAAGTCCTCCAAAAATTTTAATATATTATCATCAGAACTTTATTTCAATCTTCTTGTGTAGAAAATCCCATTCATTGGAGAATATTACTTTTATTTCTGAAACTGCAGCAAAACTATCTTGTACCTCCAGTAGGAGTGCAACTCTCATGTTCTAAAAAACGTGTAATTATTATGCAAATCTTAAATTTACATTCGTTACTCAGAATGAAAGGCTTTAACCAACGACTCCACCACACCATTTGGAACGTTTTAGAATTCGTTTTTCTTTTCAAAAATAAAAACCCAACTACTTACAGAACAAGTAAAACTGTATGCTAATCAACTGTTTCTTTTTTACATGCCAAAGGAGTTTTGCCAAAGAGGCTTGAAACCTTCCTCCCTGAATCCTGCCTACTTTCTCCAGAAGGTTCCTAGCCTCGGTGTGGTCAGACGATAATGTGTAATTCATCTATTTTGCTTTAAAAGGTGCTTAAATATATATTACTCCCCTTTTCTGATTTATAATGCCATTTCCTCTTCCCAAGGTAAAATAAGGTACAAAAGGAGAGGGCTTCACAGTAATCTTCCTACTAAAACAAGACCTGTTTCTCTAGAGTCACTGCATTTAAAAAGGCTGCCAATCCTCATTTTATTTCACTTTTCTTTCCCCTCAGTCTGGAGTTAAAAATCAGCCCTCTTGATGTTATCAAATCATCAAATGAAAGGTTCTAGAAATAGCTTCCTATTTGTGGAAGGAGCGAGAAGACATACAAAAATGGAAGAGAGCTCTCGAATCGTCTTTCCTAAAACATTCCGTGTGTAACGAATGCAAGCAAAATCCTGAAAGGCTTGCTTAGCTGTGAATTCAAGGTACTTCCGAATGGGGCTGGTTTAAAAGCTAAAGTATAACGTAACCAGAAAACAGCCAGAATCAGTGGCAGACCAAAAGCCAAGTTCAAATACACATTCCCCGGGGCCCGCAGTACGTACCCAGAATCACTGCACAGTTGCTTTAGGTGCTGCTCTACCGCGCTCCCTGGCTCATCTGTTTCAGGTTACACAGGCTCTTCTCTGTCAGTTGCCCCAGTTTGCCCACTCCACACGTTTACAAATGACTCAAAGTGCCCCCTGCTACCGAAAGTCCCAGCTCCTGACACCCCCGCGTCCGTCCACGCACTTACGTGTCCGCACACATACACACACACGCACACACACGTGTTCACACACACCCTCGCCCCGGCTCCGCCCCTCAGGCTGACTCGGGCCAGAAGGGCCGGGCACGGCCTCCGCGAGGTGGGTGGTGCCGGGCGCCGCGGCCCCACCCGCGCTGTCAGCTTGGAAGCTGAGCCCCGCGTCCTCGGTGCAAAGTCCTCCCGGCCGCCGGGGTTCCCCAAAACGCGGAGGCCTAGCCGGCTCCCATTACGCGGGGAAGCGTCCGCGTTCCTCACCGCGAGGAGTCACCGGAGACCCCGAATTCAAATAGGGGCAGGCGAGGAGGAAGGGGAGGATCCTCTTTTGGACTTTCTGCGTCGCAATTCCTCCAGGTCTGCAGACAGCCGAGTCGAGGTGGGGGGCGCTCCCATTTTTAAAGCGGTTTCCGGCCTTTCCCGGCGCGGGGGCTCTCTTGGTCAGAGGGCAAGCCCCGAGAACGCCAGGGAGGCGCGCACCATGCCGAGGGACGCCTAGCGCGCCTAGCCCGGCGCAACCCAGCCGCCCGCGTCCCCGAGTCCCGCAGGCGCTGCAGGCGCCGCGCCCCGACCTCCCCGAGCGCCGGCCCCAGGTCGTCGCGGGGAGCGCCCTGCAGCTGCAGCCGCAGCCGCAGCCGCCCCTACCGGAGCCGCGGGCTGACAGCCGTGCCCGGCGGAACGCGGCGGTCGCGCGGCTGCAGCTCCGCGGTGCCCTCTTCCCTGGAACCCCGACCTCCAACCCGCGCACCTTGGCGGCCGCCGAACCACCGCTCGGGATTCCGACTGTGACAGCCTAGTCTCTCCGGCCCGGTTCGGGGTTTCTCGGTTTTCGGCGTCACAATAATAAGGAAGTTTCCCCGCAAGCCTGCGGGCGGCGGAATGCGCTGGGCGAATGACTTCCCACCCGGCCAATGGGCGCCCTTCTGGGGCGGGCTGGCACCAATGGAGGCCGCGGCGGAGGCGGGGCGGCGAGGTCCGCGGGCTGGAGGCGGGGAGAGGCCCAGGCCGGGAGGGAGGCGGGGGCAGCCTGAGGTGACAGGACCCGCGGGCCCCGCGTGTGTCGGCCGGAATCCGGCTGCAAGACACCAAGCATTCGCTCTGGAATAGGATTGCTTTTCACAGGCGGAGAAGCGAGCGGGACTGATTAGGGGTCGGTTTTTTAGTTTTGGGGCTCTGGCTCTTAATATTTATGCAGAGGTGACCAAAAGCCTTGAGCATGGGGCTCAAGAAAAATCTAGAGGGTGACAACTGAGGGTGAATTATTAAGCGTTTTATTCCCAGTGGAGGAGTCTTCAGCTTCACACCCCTTCGGAAGACTGGAGGAAGCGCGTTGCCGAAACGCCGGGCTGCGTGGTGGGAGAAGCGGGAAGGAAGTCGGTGCGGAGGCCCGCTCTGCCTCGGCCCTCCTGGAGAGTTGCGGGGGGGAGGGGGGGTGCGAAGAGGAGAGCGGTGCTGCAGGAGCCAGGAAGGCTTGGGGTTGGAGGGTGGTGGCTGGGGGGGAGCCTGAAAAGAAGTCGCAGAGCAGATATTAAATCTTACCATCTGAAAGACACCATGTGGCTTAAAACCCAGTAATGGATAAAGAAGTTTGTCCTCCCTACCTTCCCTGGCACTGAATCTCCCAGCTTTCTTCTCTTCCCCAAGGTCACGGGGCTTTCAGAGTAGTCCTGGTCCTTGTCCTTGTCCTTTTGAAGAAAACATTCTCACAGATGACTTCATGTATCTGTTGTCCCCCACTTACCCCTTAAATTTGAAGCACAGAAGCAGAACACTAGGAGAGTACCACTGTAATCCAACAGAATGATTTAACTAGAGGATGAATTTCTGTAACCTGTCATTTGAACTTGAAAGGTCCTTTGAGGCCAGATTCTTCCTAAGGACGTTCAAATCAGGTCAAGTCTGCCGTTACCTGTTCTGGGAATCTGATAGATTGACCAAGCCAGAAAAACAAAGTGGTGTATCCTGAGGATGGGTCGTTGTCGGCAGGCCTATGAACTCTCAGTGAAATAAAGGAAGTTGTCAAATGCTCCTGAGACAAGAAAGATAAAGCAAAATCTCAAGTTATCAGGGAGCTAAGGTCATCTAAGAAAATAGTTCCAGCATTTGAAGTTTGAATCACACTGGACATCTTTAGATACACGGGGACAAAATTAACAGGATTCCCTTATATCCCAGAGGTGTGGCAGTTTCATAGAAGTCTAGGTGTCTCACAAAGACATAATCCTAATTTAGTGATGGTATCACAAAAAGAAGCTAGGGGAATAGCCAGAGAAGAGTCATGGGAGAAAGGGGGATACCCCATGGTTAAGAAGGAGAGAGTGAGATTCTATAATCATGTACCAAATATGAGGTTTATAATCAATCAGCATTTAGGTCAATATATTTGCCCTATGACTCATGTTTATCACATGAAATTTCATCTTGAGAAAAAAGTTGGCTATCAAAACCTCAAGCCTGCCTGGAGGTGGAATATGAATGATGTCTAAATTACAAACCGAGGCGGGGCGCCTGGGTGGCGCAGTCGGTTAAGCGTCCGACTTCAGCCAGGTCATGATCTCGCGGTCCGTGAGTTCGAGCCCCGCATCGGGCTCTGGGCTGATGGCTCGGAGCCTGGAGCCTGTTTCCGATTCTGTGTCTCCCTCTCTCTCTGCCCCTCCCCCGTTCATGCTCTGTCTCTCTCTGTCCCAAAAATAAATAAACGTTGAAAAAAAAAAATTAAATTACAAACCGAGGCACTATAAGCTTCCTTACCAAATAAACATCCAGAACCCTATGAACTTACTTATACGTAGAAGAATCAATGAAGATACTTAGAGTACTTCTTTTTTTTTTAATTTTTTTATGTTTTATTTTAAATTTGAGAAAGAAGGAGAGACAGAGCGTGAGCAGGGGAAGGGCAGAGAGACAGAGAATCTGAAGCAGGCTTCAGGTTCTGAGCTGTCCGCACAGAGCCCGAAGTGGGGCTCAAATTCACAAGCACTAAGATCATTGCCTGAGCCGGAGTCAGATGCTTAACAGACTGAGCCATCCATTTTCATTTTATTTTCTTAATTGAACCAATGTAAAATGGCAATTTCCTCAACAAGCATGTCCTACTCCATTTACCAAAATGGCTTTAAATGGCCCCAGCACCAACAATAGTCATAATAGGAAATATTTTAACTAGTTTGAGAGGCCATAATTTACCTTTTCTTTGCATTTATATAGCTCCATCTTCCATTTCTTTCTGGCTTCCCATGTGTTCCCTAACAAATATACTGTATATTGTGCATCTGCTGCAATACCAGCCCCTGTGGATATGTTGGTGAGCAAAATGGCACAGTCCCTGTTGCCTTCAAAAGGGAGGCAAACATTA